TAGGGTTTACGGGTTCTAGCAACTGGGGCTTTGGTTTGGATGACAACGCCTGCCCAGAATCTTCGAGCATCCCACGCCTAACTACTGGGTTCTCGTTGAGGCCCAAAGCCTAAGCAACCCGTCCAAACCCCTACCGTAAAACCCTCAAGTCCCTGAGGTAGCAGGAGACCCCAAGAGCATCTCCACATAGGGTTTAGGGGTTGGGGTTTAGGCTTCGGGTTTAGGGTTGAGGGTGTCGTTTCTAAGGGGTTTTAGGACTCAGGGGTGTGGGGTTTAGGGGTTGGGGAAGTCCTTGCACGACAGAAACGCTTCGGCTTATCCTGCATCGCACATCCTGACATCTAAAAGACATTTCCTAAGCCCTAAGCTAGTTTGAATCTTTAGTTAACTGCGCCTGTTAGCTTGAGACCCTGAATCCTTCCCTAATCCGGTTTCCGCTAAGCCATGCATCTTTCAGTTTCCCCGTTAGAGCCCCTGTAGAACTCTGAAAAAGTCCATTGCCCCTCCTAGTTTCTAGTCTCGAGGTTCGAACGAGTTCGCAATAATACTTGAAGGCCCACGGGACTCAGTAAACAGGGTATAAGTAGGGTAAAAACTGGGGTAGCTCCGTTTAGGGTACTTATAACCCTACTTGCTAAGTCCCCTGCGCCTCTAAGTACCTTGTAGTCTCCCTATGCTCGTGACACAATATACCCCAAAACTCTGGCCTAATTCTAAGTATGAAGACTCGAGACCCCGCCCTAAACCCTAAACCTTAAACCCTACCACGCCCTAAACCCTAAACCCTAAACGCTTAAACCTTAAACCCTAAGCCCTAAACCCCTAAACCCTAAGCCCTGACCCTTAAGTCCTAATCCCTGAAGTTTCTGTCGAAGAGGCTCTTCCCCGAGTGCTTTGATCTACTCAAGGCCACTGGGTTTGAGGACCCGGTGTTAGCAGAAATGTCGGCGTTTTTTTTTTCATAGCTGGTCGAATTGCCGCTCTTCGCGAGCCTGCCTTTGTAGGGGTTTAGGGTTCAGGGTTCAGGGAAGACTGGCTAGATAGACATCACTTGGCCTAAGTAATTAATACTATTTTGGGGGTTCCTTAAATTACTATATTTAAAGTATAATGGGACCCACAACCCTATTCCAATTATTAAGACCCCTATAGTAGCTTTATGCTTAAGATGGGCTAGACAGCACAATCTGAAGATCAAGAGCAATGATGCAGCAAATGGTGATCTCCAAATTGCGGTTCGTCTGTTGCACCGCACCGTTCCAAACAACCAAGGTTTCCCCTTCACACCGCGAACCCAAACCCCAGGACGCATGCATGCACGCACGCACGCACGCACGCACGCATTGATGTATGTATGTATGTACGTATGCAGGTATGTATGTAGGTAGGTAGGTATGCATGCATGCATGTTTGTTTGATTGTTTGTGTGCACGACTTGCGGCTACATTACAAGCTGAAGCCTATGATGCTCGCTAGATCCTACAATACAAGATCGCTGCCACAGAGACCCATGCTCTCAAAACCCGAAACTGCGAATTTCAAATCCATGCTTACAAGAGTCCCGGCCCTATGAAATTAAGGAGTAATTACTCCTGACGTCACAGTCCGTAGACCCATTTAGCTTAAAGAGGAGCCCCTGCTGAAGGGATATGTACTTTCGTGGGCATTCTGCCTACCAAATGGGAAAAGCCTAAGCGGTCAAGAACTAAACCCCAAACTAAGTAAGGTCCTACTACTACTACTACTACTACTACTACTACTACTACTACTACTACTACTACTACTTCTACTACGACTACAATTACTACTTCCAGGGGTTTCGGGCTTCGGGTTCAGGGCTGAGGGTTCAGGGTTTAGGTTTTAGGGTTTAGGTCTTACGGTTTAGGGTTTAGGGTTAGGGCCCCCGCAAGACTGAACCTGAGCCGAAGAGGTTCGGATCAAAGTCCTACGCGCTAAAGGCCGCCTAATATACTTGGAGGCCCAGGGGACTTAGTAAGTAGGTTATAAGTAGGTTTATTATTGGGGTGACTCCATTTAGGGTACTTATAACCCGACTTACAACCTACTTACTAAGTCCCCTGGGCCTCCAAGTAGTTGAGCGCCGGAAGGGAAGGGGTTAAGGGTTTGAGTTTGAGCTCTCAGACCCGAAACCTTTTGTTTCCATAGGGATCTAAGGACTCATATAGGGTTCCTTTTGAAGGGATCTATATAAGGGTTCCTTTAAAGGGATCGATAAGGAGTCCATTAAAGGGATCTATAGGGATTAGGCATCTAAGGACTCATATATTAAGGCTTTTGGGCCCAAAGACCATGGTATATAAGGCGTTTGGGCTATTTTGATCCCTGGGCCTGGACCGTGTAGGAAGCCCTTGTAGAATCCTGACAGAATCCAGACAGAAACTCCATCGCCCGCAGCTGTCTGCTCAAGTGTGAGTTCAGACTTTATCGGTCAAGGACTGGGGACACAACTGGACCTTAAACCCTGAGCCGCAAAACCTCAATTTGCAAGCTTATACAACTACCCCCACAAAGCTCGGCCTGCATTCAGGAAGATGTTTCAATTTCCGAACAAAACAACCGAAACCCCGAGCCTTAAATCCCTCCAACTCCAAGGCCTAAACCCAAAACTCCGTAGAATGTTGCCTAAACCCTTTGCAGAACCTCTACAAAACCCTTTGAACACCCTTACGGAATCCGTGCCCACCAAAACAGAATCCTTCTAGAATCCTTGGAGCCCCAGCAAAATCGGGTCCTTAGTTCAGGGCTTTTTTTTAAGATTCGTAGACTCTTCGACCGTGGCCGGGATGCTGAACCTCAAGGCCGCGAGAGAGCAAGTGGAGACCTGACCTGGCATGATCATGAGGGTTTACTTGGAGGCCCAGGGGACTTAGTAAGTAGGTTATAAGTACGGTTATAAGTACCCGAAATGGAATTATCCCAATTATGACCCTACTTATAACCTACTTACTAAGTCCCCTGCGCCTCCAAGTAGGGTTTAGGGCTTGTGACGTTCTTTTCTTCGAGTGTGTGTCTTGATTTCCGTGAGGTGCCCTATATTATATCTCTAGGAGGAAGACGATTTCGGATGTACGAGTCTTTGCAGATCTAGGTGTTCAAGGTTAGAGATATTTTGAACGCGATTGCAAAGTTGATGTGACATGTTCTTAAGTTTTACAGGGCCTCCGCCAACAGAGCAACTCGGACTCAGAATTTGGGGTTTAGGGAACCGAGCCGCTTTGGTTCTTGTCTTCCCGCAACAGTTCGAAGCATGCTGGGTAGGCCTTAGGCAAGGTTCGTGTTGGGACATTGGTGAGTGTGTAGTGAATGTGCGGTTCGGGTGTTGTTACAGGCTCCAACGTGCTGTTCACGCGCGCCGCGCAGACGCCGACCGCATCGGTATTTACGGTGTTTCCTGAACCTTGCAGCCGAAAACGTCGCGCCTGTCGTGTTTTTCGGGGGGTAGTGGAGGCGCGGGCGTTGAGGCATCGAATGTATTGGTGTTTACGGTGTTTCCTCGACTTTGCAGCTTGAAAACCTCGCACCTGCCGTTGTTTTAGCAGAGCATCCATGTGCCAACCATGATAACGTCCAGATCAGACCATATCAGAGCATCCATGTGCCAACCCTGATAACGTCCAGATCAGACCATATCCATGCCCGCAGAGCATCCAGGTGCCAACCATGATAACGTCCAGATCAGACCATATCCATGCCCGCAGAGCATCCATGTGCCAACCATGATAACGTCCAGATCAGACCATATCCATGCCCGCAGAGCATCCATGTGCCAACCATGATAACGTACAGATCAGACCATATCCATGCCCGCAGAGCATCCATGTGCCAACCATGATAACGTCCAGATCAGACCATATCCATGCACGCAGAGCATCCATGTGCCAACCATGATAACGTCCAGATCAGACCATATCCATGCCCGCGAAGCATCCATGTGCCAACCCTGATAACGTCCAGATCAGACCATATCCATGCCCGCAAAGCATCCATGTGCCAACCATGATAACGTCCAGATCAGACCATATCCATGCCCGCAGAGCATCCATGTGCCAACCCTGATAACGTCCAGATCAGACCATATCCATTCCCGCAGAGCATCCATGTGCCAACCATGATAACGTCCAGATCAGACCATATCCATTCCCGCAGAGCATCCATGTGCCAACCATGATAACGTCCAGATCAGACCATATCCATACCCGCAGAGCATCCATGTGCCAACCGTGATAATGTCCAGATCAGACCATATCCATTCCCGCAGAGCATCCATGTGCCAACCCTGATAACGTCCAGATCAGACCATATCCATGCCCGCAAAGCATCCATGTGCCAACCATGATAACGTCCAGATCAGACCATATCCATGCCCGCAGAGCATCCATGTGCCAACCCTGATAACGTCCAGATCAGACCATATCCATTCCCGCAGAGCATCCATGTGCCAACCATGATAACGTCCAGATCAGACCATATCCATTCCCGCAGAGCATCCATGTGCCAACCATGATAACGTCCAGATCAGACCATATCCATACCCGCAGAGCATCCATGTGCCAACCGTGATAATGTCCAGATCAGACCATATCCATTCCCGCAGAGCATCCATGTGCCAACCATGATAACGTCCAGATCAGACCATAGCCATGCCCGCAGAGCATCCATGTGCCAACCATGTTAACGTCCACATCCCTAAAGACAAGGAGTGGGTCAGACTCTGAGTGCCTGAAAAGCAAAACCTGTGCGAAGCAACTTGTTCCGTGAACAGCTTTACTTAAACGCCTCGATGTGTCCAAAACCCAAGCCACAGCGCATTTCTTACCAAAATACTGATAGTTTCCGTGCGTCGACCTTCTTCAGTTCCCATTGTTGCCAAGCCTGAAAGTGCTGCACCTGCCATGTAAAACTACGCTTCCTCCTGCTACATCCTTGGAAAGGCGCGCGTGAACAGCACGTTGGAGCGTTGTTACAGGGATACGGCAGCAATGATGAAGAGGGAGTTTGACGTCACTGCGGGGATATTCGGTAGTGGAAAGAGTGGAGTGCCTACTTTGGCCCGCGACGGGACGTGGGCGGACGACACGGCATACCCGCTCAGCGACCCCCTGCCCGAACCGTCTGATGCGCAAAACCTCTCGGTTGACATCCCTGGTCCTCTCCTTTTGTGAGGACCATGGAATGAAACCAAACCTCAAGCGAGGTAAAACTGCCGTACTCCTGCAATTGGCCGGAAAAGGGGTTCGAAAGCCACGCAAGGCCTTTTTCCCGGACGGCAAGGCGCAGCTTTGGTTGGAAGACATGCAGGTGCATGTCTGCACTACGGCCGCTTACACCCACCTTGGCGGGATCCTGGACTACAGAGGATCGATGCTGCCCGAGACAAAGTGACGTCTCGCGATCGCAACCGCAGCGATCGAGGAGGGGAAGACCACAACCTGGACCCTCAAAGTATGTAGAATAATAGCCTTTTATAGGTCTTAGAAATCAGCAGAAAGCAAATGGTACAGCACGTACATAGAAAACCCCCAAAGCCTAAAGCCTAAACCCGAAAGCCCTAAAGCCCTAAAGCCCTAAAGCCCCAAGACCCTAAACCCTAAACCCCAACAAGCTCCCTATGGGAAGCTTATGACAACAAATCCTACATTTCCCAGGCCCTAAAGCCCCAAGGGCCTTAACCCTGAAATACCCTGCACCCCATAAGAACCCTATGGGAAGTTTATGCCTAGCCCCAAAGCTCTCAGGCTTTAAGCCCTAAGCCCCATAAGAACCCTACAGGAACCATGAGGCCCACGAGACTTGGCAAGTCGCTTACAAGCAGGATTTGGGGGTGTAGGGTGTAGGGCTTATTGTGAGTATGGTTATAATTGGGGTAGCTCCATCTAGGGTACTTATAACTCTACTTTTAAACTACTTACTAAGTCTTCTGGGCCTTTAAGAAGACTTTAACAACCCTAGAATCCCCAGAAGCACCCTTAAAGATCCCGTTTAAGGAACCCGTGCAAACCAAGGAGAAGGAGCTTGGCTCTGCGACCTCGTCGCGCCGGGGCGGCGGCGCCGCCGCTGCTTCGGGCACTTCGGCTATCCGGGGCCGGGGGGCTTCCGCTCTCACAGGGCCCTACCTTTTTGAGGTTCATAAGTAGAATCCTATAAGGTAATCCAAAAAGGAACTGCTATGGAGCCTATGGGTAAGCCATAGGTTTAGAGTTTAGAGTTTGGCGTTTAGGGTTTGGGGGGGCTTCCGTTTTCATAGGGGTCTGTTAGTGTTTTTTCAGTATTCGAAAGGCGCTTTGCAGGGTTCCACACAACGAAAGGGCGTCATCATTGTCCCACGTTCTAACATGTACTGTAGGGTTCATTTGGCGTTCTTAAGTGGTCTTGTAGGGTTTTCTCGGTTTCTCATAGGGTTCGTTCACATGTTGAGGGTGAACTTGGGGGTGAGGTTTGAGGGCTCTGGGGATAGGCCTTTTCGTTTATGAAGATGAGATGCTGTCCTTGTGCAGTTTTGAGGTAGTTTTTCCAGGTAGCTTTCTGACAGGATTGCGGAGTTTGATCAGCACACCCATTTTGCGAGCAGGGCTTGTTAGTCTCCACACTGCGTCTGGCTAAGGTGTTGGGGTTCGCACTCAGCGGCCTAGTACGGTGCTCTAGGCTGTGACACTATGCTTGAAGAAAACCTTGACCCTGAACCACCCAAAAACGAAACGCGCGCGAAACCCATAACTGATACGTCTCACAACCCCTGCGGTGCCCCAAAACCGAGAACACCCTGAAAGCCTCAAAACCTAATCCCTCAACCCTAAACACCCTAAGCCCTCGTCTCTCAACCCTAAACCCAAAAGCCTGCCAACCCCCAAAAAACCTAGACCCCCCCGCGAAACCCATAAGCCCTCTTGAGCCTCGCACTTGTAAAACAAAGGCATCGAACAGATACCGGAAAAGCCACCCTGAGTCAAGCCCGAACTGTAAAGCCCCTAAACCCTAAACCCTAAACCCCTAGACCCCTAAACCCTAAACCCTAAAGCTCGAAACTTTAACCCCGCGGAGCCCAAAAGCTCCCTTAAATCCTAAACCTAGATCCCAAACCCCAAAAGACCTTAAAGCTCATCCCAGTAGTAGAGTATGCAACCTTTAACTTTTTTGGCGTACTGTAATGTTTTTAAGCTCCCAAAAGGTCATCATTCCAAGCCCCTTAAACCCGAAGCCAATTGCATCTTAAACACCAAACCACCAGAAACCTGACAACTCCCCTAAACCCTAAACCCCTGAACCCTTAAAGCCTTAAACCCTAAACCCTAAACCCTAAAACCCTTAAACCCTGAAGCCCTCAACCCTAAACCTCTAAACCCTTAAACAATAAAACCCTGAAACCCTCAACCCTAAGCCCCTAAACCCCTAAACCCCTAAACCCCTAAACCCTAAACCCTTAAACCCCAAACCCTGAAACCCCCTCAACCCTGAAAAGCTCGCACCGAAGAGAGCCCAGGGAATGGCCCCCCGAGCCGACCCAGGAGCGATCACCAGGGCCACCTTCATGGCTAGGATTTAGGGGTTTAGGGGTTTAGGGGTTTAGGGGTTTAGGGGTTTAGGGGTTTAGGGGTTTAGGGGTTTAGGGATTTAGGGTTAAGGGTTTAGGGGTTTAGGGGTTAAGGGTTTAGGGGTTAGGAGTTTAGGGGTTTAGGGTTTAAGGAGGTTCCCCCAAAGTGCCCTTTAAAGGATCTATAAGGGGTTCTACAAGGAGGGGTTTTGGGAGTTAGGATTAGGGGGACCTTCGGGGATATAGACTCTCTCAATAAGGTCCCTTTTAAGAGAGCCAGAACGAGGGTTCAGAAGGGGTACCCTTTAAGGGGTCTCCCTCATCATGCTACCCACTTCAGAGCATTTCCCTACATTGGCACATACACGCACAGAGACATATAAGCAAACAGCTATAGAATAGAGTATAACAGAATATAACATAAAATAATGCAGTATCGCCTAATTGAATATATTTTTGATATAGATCTAGATATAGATAGACACACACACACACATACATACATACATACATACGTACATACGTACATACGTACATACATACATACATACATACATACATACATACATATGTGTGTGTATACACAGTTACATCATGAATTTGATAAGTATGCATCTGGTTTCAGGGGTGACAGCAACAAGGTTTTTTGGATTGCTTGCTCTTGTGAGTGGCGGGATTGTTGTGTTGTGTTGGTTGCAGTTCCCAGGTCATTTTTCAACATGTGGGATTGTGGTATACAGTTGCTTAGCAGTTCTTGGGGCGTAGGTTAGGATGCTTTTCTTGGTGTCTTTGCCATGCTTGTTAGGCCCTAAGCTCTAAACCTTGAGGCTAAAACCCAAACCCTAAACCTCCGAAGACATAAACCCCAGACGCTAAACCCCAAACCCTCGAGGCCCTTATAGAACCCTTGTAGCCTTATAGTAGCACTTCTAGAACCCTTTAAACGAATCCTTAAAGGAAACCCCAAACCTCAAACCCTTAGACCCTAAGCCGTGCATTTCCTCAAAGACTTTAAGTTAAGTTTGCACCCTAAGCGTTTGTAACCCTAGGTTTGGGGTCCCAAATACCCCTCTTAAGGGCCATATTCCGTGGTGTAGGGACCCAAACCCAAGGGTACAAACCCTAAGGGTGCAAAGGAAAACACCTTGGAGAGCCTTATAGTAACCCTTATAGAAACCTTCAAAGGAACCCTTAAAGGACGCCCCACACCCTAACCCTAAACCCTAAATCCTAAACCCTAAACCCTAAACCCTAAACCCCTAAACCCTAAACCCGTAAACCCTAAACCCTAAACCCTAAACCCCACACCCTTAGAGCCTAAACCGTGCATTGCCAAACTGCGAGCGTGCACGCAGTTGCAGGAGCCTCAGCCGGCCCAGGAGCATGAGTCGGATCCTCAAATACCGTATAAAGTGTGTTCACATTAAAATATTATGTGTATATTATATGCATATATATATATATATCTATATCTATACACATATATATATATATATATATATATATGTATAATTGTGTATGCTGTTTAATTATACAGTATATAACAGGATCATTAAAGGGAGTTTTTTGGGATTCCTCAAAGGGTTCCTGAAAGGGCTCTACAAGGGGTCTTATTAGGGTTTAGGCTTTAGGGCTTCGGAGCCGGATGCTTATTTGGATGAGCCTCCGGGGTTTAAACAAACGGCCCCTTCAAGGGTTCTAGAAGGGGTAGTTTTCGGGTTTAGTTTAGGGCTTAAGACTCGCATCTGTAACGAGTTCTATGGGGTTTAAGGTTTACGGTTAAGGGTTTAGGGTTTTTTCGGTCGGAGAGTCGCCTTCTTATCAAAGGCAGAGCTCCATATGGGTTGTGTACCACTTGTAGAAGTGTGTTTGGTAAGCATGTTGTAGGTTTCTATCATTTCGGTGTTTATAGCTTTAGGCTCTGGGGGTTCCTAGACGTCTCCGTGGGTTTCAGATTTTATTTCCAAGGGCTGTACAGACTGTCATGGGTGTTGCGGGGTCTTAGAAGTTGCTTCCCGATTTCCATTTCGCAGCGTTGCAGAAGATATGTAGGGCTCTTAGCACGCACAGTTTTCCCATTTGCGTTTCCTGCCGACAAGTGTCGTGCAGGCCAGCTCCTCGGCAGGGGAGGCACAAGGCTTGCAAAGCTACGCTGCGAGGCGAGGCTATGATGAGGCAAATTTGGCCCAGCTTTCTCAGCGAGTGTGCCGGGAATGCACAGGATGTCACAGCGGCTGCACGTTCAAGAAGCAGCCTATCGGCGAGAAGCATATCGATGCTTCGGGTGAGTCCCTGATTTAGGGCTTAGGGTTTAGGGATTAGGGTTTAAAGGGGCCCATTGACTGTTGGGGGGTTCAAGATTTTGGGCACTTGTGAGGCCGAAACTCTGAACCCTAGACTACTATAGGGCCCCAATAATTACCTATACTATTTTGGGGGCTCCTTATTATAACCATGGTACTACATACCCCGAAACCCTATTCTAATCATTAAGGAACCTATGTTAAATCCTATCGGCGCTCCAGGCTCCGGGGGTGGACACCTATGGGTTGGAGATTTAGGGATGCTGTTTAGGGTTGGTTTAGGTTGGGGTTTTGGGTTGCTAGGATGCTAGAAACCCTATTCCCTAAAATTCTGAAGCCTAAACCCTAAACTCTAGACCTACCGTTAAAAGCACCTAAACCGTAAACCTACTTCTTATCAAACAACCCTAAACCCAACAACCTATCCCCGCAGTCTATTCGTTCATGGCGCATAACCTGTTGTTTTTGTCTACTATAGTATACCGTCCCATACTTTATTTTCCCATTCTACAGTATAATATGATATATATATATATATATAGAGACCTTTAAGCTTGCCAAGTCCCCTAAGCTAACATCATACAAAGACCCCCTAAACCCTAAACCCCAGATAAGTCCTAAATAGATTAAGCTTACTAACTCCCTTGGTCCTTCAAACGCCGAGGCCCAGCTCCGGGTGAGGACGAACCCAAGGCCGACCAGCTGAGCTGTGAAGTGTTTTGGGTTTAGGGCTTTTAGGGTTGTTGTAGTGGGTTGTTAGGTGCTTTTAGGGGCTTTTAAAGTTGTTCAGTGGTTTTTAGGTTCTTTTTTGTAGGGGTGTTTTAAGCTTTAGGGTTTAGGGTTTAGGGCTAGGGCTTTGGGGTGGGTTTTTGGGGTTCAGGGTTTAGGGCTGGAGTTTAGGGTCTAGATTCTTTGGCTTTAGGGTTGAGCGATGTTCAGGCTTTTTAGGTCTGCTTGGAGGATCCTGGGACTTAGTAAGTAAGGTTATAAGTACCTTAATTGGGGTTATAAGCACTTACAAGTATAGTTACCTTATGTATATCCTTACTTACTAAGTCCCATGGTCCTCCAAGTGGGGTTTTAGCGTTTTGAGCGCTCTCGGGTTTAGAATTTATGGCCCAGGGCCTAGGGTTCTTTTGAGGGGTTCCTTCAGAGACTTCCCTCAAAAGGTTCCTTTGAAGGGTTCCGTCGAAGGGTTAGGGCTTCGGGGCTTGAAGTGGTCTTAGAGCTTTGCTTTAAAGACGATGATAGGGTTTTGTCAGTATTGTACAGCTTTTTTACGTAAGGGTTGGTACTAGGTATTTTGCTACGCGCAAGGTTCAAGGGTTACGGGTTTAGGGTTAGAGTTCCGGATTTATGATTCAGGTCTCCGGGGGTGATTAGTTCCTGGGTTGAATAAACGAATAATAAAACATACATGAACAGGTACATAGATAGATAAACACGTAGAAATATTTAAGAACAACAGCACCTAATTACACACAAAGGTACATAAACATATAGATATACCAATAAGAATAAACCATATTCGAACGAATAAGTTAGTAAGTATATGCACAGGTAAATACAAATATCAACAAGTACCTTGACTAAGGAGGTCGAGGTTCGTGTGTTCAGCGTTGGTCAAGGACTACATGCCCGAAGGGTCCTAAGTACCCACATGAGGGATACTTACCCAAGCCATAATGGTGCTTCGTTCCACAGAAACACTACTTTCCACTCTGTAGGTACTTAGGACCCTTTGTTTTGCTCTGTTGGGCTGTCATCCTCTACACCTGAAGCCCCGAAAGCCCTGAGCCCTCAGCTATAGTCACCTTAGGAATCATTGTTTTGTTTTTGTTCATACAGAACCCAAGAGAATCTTAAACAAAACATATTCTTATTAGGGTTCTAAGGGGGGTATAGTAAGCCGTAAAGCCCAAGCCTTAAAGCATCCTAAAGCCCTAAACCTGTCATCTGTCTTTGGTGCAGGATGCCTTGGTTGTCAAGCCCCTGTTCAATGTCGGCGACAAGGCACGGCGTTTCAAGCTCTTGAGGGCTTTGGAGACGGTGTGCTCTGGTGTCATAATCGTTTTTCTTGCTCGGGATATAACAGGATGTGTGTAGACGTTGGTTGCATGTGGTGTCTCGGAGCTTCATCGTGCCTTGTTTTTGGGGTTCAGGGTGCGATCTGAAATCTTCTAGGGTTTAGGGTTTAGGGGTTCAGCTGCATCTGCGTGGAACGTTATCGTTTTTGGGGCGTCGAAGTTTGCGGGGCTTCGGGTCTAGATTTTCTGCCTATCTGTCTGTTTAAAGCCCCTTTGGTCCCTGAACCCCTAAACCTCCAAAGCCACGGTTTAGGGTTTAGGCCGTTTAGAAGGCCTTGACCCTACAATCTCAGAAATCTCTCAACTGCAAAGCCCCGTACGCCAATCTTCTAGAGAAGAGGGTCGGTGGTTGGAGTTGAAAAACTAGGACCCCTTTTTTGTAGTCCTAGGTTCCTTATAAAGCTACCCAATAGCAAAAAGGGAGCCCTTTTTATTCCTAGGGTACTCGGCATCCTAGAAATGTCCCAGGCTTCTGAACCCTTAACCCCAAAACCCTAAACCCAACTGCCGAAGCCCTGAACCCTAAACCCTTTATCGCTAAATCCCTAAACCCAGAACCCCTAAATCCTAAGCCCTAGAACCCTAACCCCTAAACCCCAAGACTCGGAACTGTAAACCGTCGGGTTAAGGGTGGGTCCGCAGGTGGAGTATCGCAGCGACACGCACAGGCAGTGGCTGGCGGGCACAGTGTGTCTCGACAGCCGTCGGTTTTCTTGCAGGGTACCTTACAGTGATTCCTCCCAAGGTATCTAAAAAGGTTATACACGGCTTTTGCAAAGGTTTAGGGTTTAGGGGATCATGACAGGATTCCAGGAGGGATCTAGAAGGGTTCAGGGTTATGGGGTTCAGGGTTTCATAGGATTGTCGGGTTTGGGGCTTGGAAGATATTTACTTGAGAAGGAATATGTAGTACGTCGAGTCTAACCATGTATATCGTTCCTATGATGCCGGCTGGAAGCAAAATCCTTAGCCGAGGGTTTAGATTTACGGACTGCTATGGCTTACATCCAGACTCCAAACCCTTTAGGTTACAGGGCCGTGGTTCCGCGGAGCGATATCTAGCCTAGAGTATGGTTATATACACTTTCGAGTTCGATAGAACAGATGTTGTCTTCATATGGAGCTTAGTCCGTTTGTAGAGTTTGTAGAGTTTAGTCTTTTTCGCCGTGGTCGTATGGAATTGTTGATGCAGTTCTTGTGCGTTTAAACTAAATGGGTTTAGAGTATGGGATTCGCGGCCCAACCCCGGCCATAATCGTAGTGGTCCGGACACGAATGCAATCAAGCACTGTCAAATCCGGTTGAAAGGCGCAAGGCAAACCCCAGCCTAAAGCCAAGACCTTGAACGCATACAAACCCAAACCCGAAATCCTTGCACCCAAAGTCTAAGTTAGTGCCACGCTGCATCAAGGGGGTTCTTCACCAGAAATGCTTCTAATAAGGGTCGAGTTCGCCTAGAGACGTTGGATTGAACAAGTTCGGATGTCGCGAACCCTACACCCTCCGCCCTCAACCCTGAAACCGTAAACCATCAAACCTTAAACACTAAACTATATCAATTCCCTAAGCCCTAAACTTTAAACGATCAAACCCGAAATATCAAACCCTAAACCCCAAATGCTAAACCCTACACCATCAGACCCTAAACCCTAAACCCTGAACTACTAAACAGCCAAACCAAGGCAAAAGGTCCGAGAGGGCGGCACCGTCTACGACCTCGACGTGAAGAAAGGACCCAGCCCAGGGACGGAGCGACATGTGGCCAAGTTTCCTCTAAGGGTTCCTTTCGGGTTTAGGGCTTGAAGGGTTCCTTTAAAGGGTTCTACAAGGGTTACTATGAGGGTTTGTTGATCGCTCGGTAAGTCACTTGAATTCGGGTTCTGGTCGTTAGAGGCCATGGTGATCTTCTCAATGTCGTCCCCGATGGTCACAAACTCTCTGTGCGACGACCGCTCAACTTTCCATGGGCTCACACTAACGACTGTTTTTCAACGCCACTCAAAGACTGTCGAATGTGCTCCGTCCTCCGGACTAGGGCCTAAGCCTACATTCATAGACTGCATCGACGTGTCTGCTGGCTTCTGCCGATCATGGCGAAACTCAGTTTCGCTGGAGCCATCACGGCTTTGCGAGAAGGTCGGCCACCTGGGCTTCAACACTCCTCCTCAGCTGCATCATCTCCAATTAGAGATGGAAAGCTGCTAGTTTCTTCCGTCTCGTAAAGCTTGCAAACAGTACCTGCAAATCATACGGTCTTGAACTGCGGCGCTATTGCGAAGAGCATGACAAGATCGGAAGAAGTGTAGAGCACCTGGAGTTCGGCTAGAAGTAGTTATCACATGGAGCTCACACAACTCTTCAAAGGTGAAACCCTTGTCAAAAGTGGTTTGCGTAGATGCATCCCTCCTGGTCTCACGATCAACCTCTAGACCTCTATGCTGTGGAAGGGGTCGAGTCTCTGGGACCTGGTGGGAAGACGAAGAAGAAGTATGGGAGGCTTGCGCCCCCTGTTCAAAGTCCAAAAATCCAGGAGTAGGTGGTGGCGGGATGAATACCGCTGTGTCTTGAGGAATCGGAGGAGGAGGTGGAGGTAATTCCAGGATGGGATTGAGAGTCGGAGCCTCAACCTGTACCTGCACGAGGGGCCTAGCGGTTGGTGAGGCTGACACAGGGTCCTCAACTTGCAACTGCACTCGCCGGGACCTCAAACCTTCACCATCTAGTTCCCTTTCTATTGCCCTCCTTACAGTTTCCTGCCTACGCTCACGACGGGTCAGACGCACCTCGGCTTCATCATCTGCTGTCACCACCCTCACGGCATGAACATCACCACGGCAACACGCTCTAAGGCAAAACCGTGCGGACTCCCAAAGAAACAAAACTGCCATAATCATCAAAACCACTAGCAGCGAAAGCTCCAGGCTCAACGGCTCACCCTCAGCCTCCTCATCAGAGGAGCTTCCCTCTCCAATCTCGGATTGAAGAAGTAGGATTAAAACCATTATCCACACCCGTAGCCTATTATTCTGCAACGCGATTCCCTCAGTTTCTGGCAAGGTTGCTCGTTCGGGCTGAAGACTGTGGTCAAGGTCTCTTACACGCTGTAGTGGGGTCTGGTCTACATCTACTCGCGCAACCCTACTATGGGATCTAGGGGGACCTAAACCCAACAGTCTACAGAGGTCTTCCAAACGGGCTCGCATCAATGCCTTGGTCAGGCAATCAGCCAGCTGAATGTCCCCTGGGCAATGGGAGACTTCCAGCTCGGATCTCTCTACCATATCACGCATGAAGGCTGAACGTACACGCAGGTGCCTAGTGCGCTGGCTTCCGCCTCCCTCTGCCAAGATTACTGCTGCCGTGTTGTCGACACGGAGATGCTTCCGACAGGGAGCATCCTCAAGCTCGCAAATTAAAGCTTCTAGCGACTGTCCCAAAACAACCCCTTCGCAACCTGCTACTAACTCCGATTCTGCCGTACTCAAAGTAACCAGGCTTTGACGTTTGGACTTCCAGACGACGCAGCACTCGTGGTATTGAAGGATCACCCCTGTAATTGAGTGACTCCCATGAGGGGCAAATGAAGCGTCAGTGTAAATTTGCAAACCGCTTGGTTCTCCTGGGATTAGCAACAGTCTATTGCCCTTAGTATTAGCCAGGTACTCAAGAACACGCTGCCCTATCCTAGACACATGCCGGGGAAACCTGGACACCCAACTTGACATCAAGGCAACACAGTAGCCGATATCTATACGCGTTCGCTGCGCCACCCACAACAGTTCTCCAGTCACTCGCTGTCCCAACCTCAGGTCCTGCTCGGAGAAATCCTCAGGAGGTGGAACCTCCCTGACCCACTCCTGCGGAACCGGGACGGTAGCACGTGAACTCGGCTTCACCTGGTGGCTTCGCAGTAGCTCATCTATATAAGCTTCTTGCACAAGTGAATAGCCAATCGCCTGTCCTTCTTCGTCTACCTCGGCGTATATGTCAACGCCTAAGAAGCGGAGAGGATCCGAAGGCGTAGCTTCCTTCAACCCTGTGCACTCCCACGATTGGCGCAACCAAGAAATGAAAGACTCAGCCACACCGGAGTCCGTCAACAGTAGCATGTCATCGACGTACACCAGAAGGTGTCCCACGCAAGAACCATCGTCAAGCCTCATGCTCCAGATGTTATCATCACTGACAAGCTGTTGCAGTCGAACCTTGCCACTCGGGCTAGTCCACTCAGCTGACCTTAGGAACTTGTCTCGGTGGATTGACCACCACTTGGGGCTTTCACGAAAGCCGTGCAACGCTCTTTTGATGACCCACAGCTCGTCCTCCGAACACAAGCCCAACTCTATAAGAAGACGCGGGGGTTTCATTGCATATCGTCGAGTCACATTCGCTGGAATGGGTGCTAGAAGGAACGCGCATTTCACATCGAGCCCAAAGCAACGTTTCCCGCGGCGACCTGAATATGCTAAGAGAGTGCGGAGGCTCTCCGCCCCAGCACCACCCGCATAGAGTTGTCCTTCATCAGTGGCCGAAGCGAAGTTTCCACATGACACAATGCGGAATTTTCTCTTAAATGGCTCTCCTGGTTTGATGGTACAAACTGCTTTGGCCGGTATGACCTCAATCGACGAGTCTCGGATGACTCTCCTGGCTTCGGAACCGTAGAGCTTCTCAATCACGCCCAACTTCTCAAAAGACTGGAGTTCTGCCTGGGCTGAAGATCGCCACTTTTGCAAATGTCTGCGAACTTCGGCCGGCGAGACCGTATGCACCACCTCCAACGGGCCGCTAAGACTCTGAAGCAGCTCTTCAACGTTAGGAGTATAAATATTCTCATCAACCTTCCTGACAGCTGGAGCTGGTGCCGCATCCGATCTTCTTGGGACAAGGCTCAGCAAAGGGTCATGTGTGGGAACTCCTATCACTGCTCCCTGAGACGACACAACTGGACCCAAGGGAGTGGACGCATGGCCAACACCTTGTGAAGCGACAGCCTGATGGTCAACGTCCCCTTCAGCGGCTATTGGGACCTCACGAACCGCCATACACCTATAATCTGCTGACGACGATGGTGTGGATGAGTCCGTCGGGTCTGCTCTTGTCTCCTCCGGAACAGACTCGCTACTCGGGCCTAAACCTGAAGAAGCCAGAGACGTTGAAGTGACATCCCCTGGTGTAGGCACATGTGCCTGAGAGCTAGATGCAGCCCCGGCACTTGGAACCCACTCCTCATCACCCCACATCTCTTGCATATACATTACATGATTGTAATTCGTCATACCCGAGGACTGGTTCAAAGGCTTGGGTGAGTCCGTGGGGTCTGCACTCGGAGTCTCCTCAGGAACGTCCCATCGGGTGCTCACGACTCGATCCTCCTTGGCAGTGTTGTCCTTGCGCAAGGAGTCCGGCTGCTTAATCCCTAGAGACGGCAAAGGGGGGCCTGGGCACTTCACCCCCAAAGTCCTATTCTGGAAAACCCAGGGTATCTGCCTGTTGGACTTATCATAAACCCGAACCTCCCCCGTGGTTAAGCTGGAATTCTGGGGATTATCGGGTCGCCTAGTGCCTGGAGGATGGATTCCCAACATAACCTTATTGGCCAAGGACTCCGATAGACCATGCTCCATCAAATCTTCCACAAATAGGAACTGTAAATCATTCGGTTCTACGATACCCAAGGCTCTTAACTGATTGTACGCATGGCTGGCTCCCCTCACAGTCAAGAAGTCCAAGAGCGCAACGTTGTCCAAAGCAGCATGGGGAACATCCCCAGGATTTCCTATACTAAAATCCCATCCAACAAGCTCAGAGTTCAAATCAGGCTGCAGGTCTGATGATAAGGATCCCGGATCAGGGTGCGACTCCTCAGCGCTGCTGAGGCTCACTGCCTCCTCCTGATCCATGGCACTCTCAATCTGACGGCGTAACTCTTCCGAGGTTATGCTTGACTCCGAAGTGTCATCGGAGGACTCAGATACAGCCCGAACGCTGCACACACCTGTCATTACCACCTGGTCGGAGCAAACTCCTCGAGTTGCAGCAGGGGGTTGGGGCAGCGGCAGAAATGGAAATTCCCAAGTTTCCAAACACAGCAAATCCTCATGACTTAGCTTCTGGGAGCCCAGCGGAGTGTAACCCTCAACCAATTTGATTGAATCCTCACGGCATGATGGCACCTCGGATCAAAAGCATGCGGTACGTCAGTCAAAGCTCGCGTCTCACTGGGATCCCACGTGGGAACGGGAGTCTCACCAGGCCTCAGCCTAGATGAGCCACCGGAATCAACCCAAAGCTGAACCTCTCCTGGAACATGCATGGTGTAGTTCATGGTTCCCCACTCATTTCTCCAATCCCGGTGAACATCAACATTCCCGGCCCGCATCAGCATAATTGCTGACCACGAAGGTGTGCTCACACCAGCCTGAACGGAAAGCCTGGAACGAAATGCCCTATTCAAGAACGTTGTGGTCCAAGGCTTCCTCCTCGACAGTTTAGTCACACCCCTCAAGCCTCCATGACAATACGCTCCGAAGATATGCCTCCCATCTACTATGCCTCTCCGGTCACCTGTAGATTCCTCCTCCTGAACAACGGCGCTCAACACACATCGGACTGCTTCAAGGCTGTCGTCCTGGGAAGAAAGGTAAGCATGGGCAACCTCCTCTGAAGTCTGAATGTTGGCACACTCAACAAATCGCACTGAGGTCTTCTCCTTAAGCCGTCGCAGCGGTC